TTTTTTGGGAGCTTATTCATTCAGAGTGCAAAATGCTTGTTGCATCTTTTATGTTGAAGTCCGTGTTTACCCTATCCCTATACTATTCTAGAGCGCTCATTGATTTTTAGGCGCACCTTTGCTTGGTTTCATCTAAGCATAAGTGTCTCATCCAGTCATAAATGATACTGTGTAATAAGTAGTTACGTTCATCTTTAGTCTCATTGCGTAGCTATCAGACATGAGCGAAGAGTACTACATCTTCAAATAGCAGTGTTAAAGTGTAAGCAGCATTGATTCAGATGTTTCCCCGTTGAACCCTTTTCGGAAGAGGAGAACACAAAAGAGATGGAAAGTTTGTCACTTGGGAAAGACCGCCCGTCCAAAACGTTCTCTGACAAACAAACTCAAACAGATCTTGTTGTCTTCACTCCAAAGATGCGAATGGTAGGTGTATCATTGGAAAGATCACAAACGCCAATCTCTCCAATATTCAGAAACGACCTTACTTCATGACTAATCCTGTGGATGATGAACCGCAAAATTTCAAATTGTTGCAACCACCTGGGAATTACACATTGACGGAGATGTTTGACGATTTAAGGTGTATTGGGGTGAGAAGTTCTCGTATTTTTTTAGCCCATTACGTAGATCCACATGCCCCGTGTTTTCACTATTCTCCATAGTAGTGCTATGTTAAGGACTCTCCTCTATCGAATGTCAGTCCATCAACCTCATCACAACTTCAAGATCTGCAAACTCTACCTCGGGCATACACTAGTCCATCACAAATGATAAGATGCGCAGAATACCCGCAACAATTCTTATCTCAGCCACACCCTTATGCGAATAATTATGCTTATCCTTCTTTAGCAGAAGGAGAGCATTACACGCTTACGCGAGCATATTCTAATCCAGCTACACTGGTAAGAGATCGGAATAGTGTCGAACAGGTAAGTCGCGCCATACGCTCAAACGCAAGAAAGGTTTTCTACTAGATACTATTAAGGTCTCACACCCGATCTCAGCTTATTTCACTCCTCACTCGCGTCCTTTCCTCTCATAATGGAATCAAATCATTGGCAAAATATTATGTGAACTGATAATGTGCCTTTCTGTATCTAGAATTGGGCATTAGAATGTCATAAATTGTAACTGTCTTGTCACTGTGAATACATAAAGCTTGCTGACACAAAAACGTCTTGAGCGCCTTAATGATAATCAAAATGGTTAATGTATCCTACCCACAATTGACCGTGTTTAAGCCAAGATTCAACTTAGTTGATTCTTCACTACTAAGGAAATAACGTATTCTTTGTATGACGTCATTCATTACCGTCTTGTATGTTTGTTGAGCTTTCAAACTATGCAAAAGGAATATCTTTGCTGCGTGATAACTCTTCCATGCTACACAGCTTGTTATCTTACTTTTATCTCGTTTTTCAGTAGCCTTCCAAAGGTGGTATAAAATCGCTTATCTGTATTTCCTCTAAACGGCTAAACTCCACCAACTTGTGCAAACACTTCTCTGAAGTGAGCATTGCTAAGTCTGGGAAATACTAATAAATTTACTAAGTTTCTCACCAAGCAAAGAAGATGTTATAATTGTGCCGCTTGATTACCTACGGCTGACAGGAGAAGGTTGAACAGCCTAAACATGCTTAGTAATGTGGTAAACTTATCACTGACATCATGGTATGAGTTGGGTCAGATCATTAGCGATGAACACATTTATTCTAATCTTTCATCTTAGTCTTCGCGCAGAAACCCATTACGATTCTAGCTTCACAAGTCAATTTTCAATTCTAATTCGCTAGTTGTACACGTAATTCAAAATTCATGCCTCAGTGATCTATTTTCCTACTTTCTGGCCGACGTACCACGCTCCTCGCCTTTTTACCAGTTAAGTGTTTATTCACATGCATCTTGAATAGACTCTGATATGTTAAGAGGACGATGGAAAAGCTGCACCGTTGTAGCGCAATTCCTGTAGCAGTCGGTCAATGTCCTCACGTAAGATGGGTCCACCCCTTGGTCGA